CAAGAAGATGAGGTAAGCGAGCTGATGCCAGGTTGGCAGAGTCAGATATTAGAGGGATTCATGAATAAACATGGAAAAGTGCAAAAACTTAGGCTGGAGTTAGGCTGTTATGTTTCATAAAGAATTTCAGGAAGTGGGAAGTGGGAGACACCAGGAGTATATTTCAAAGCAGCACCAGCAAGGCGCTCTTTATGCAGGATTTTTAAAAAATAGCCTTGTATGCTTAATGGTCTTTTTCACTCACTCATCAGGCCAAGACTAAAAAACATTGATCGCAGCAGCGCCCAGCACTTGGAGGTGACGGTTGGGGACCTGACAGTCATCATAACGGACTTTAAGGAGAAGGCCAAGCCCTCGGCCACCTCGGCCACTTCCTCCAGCTCCGTGTCATCGGCCGACCACCACAGCCAGAACGGCTCTAGCTCAGAAAACACAGAGAAGGGCCTTTCCCGCTCTTCCTCACCCAGAGGAGAGGGGAGCTCGGTCAACGGAGAGTCTCACTGAGTTAGCCTCCTTGAAACCTTTCCCTCCACCCCGCCTCCATCAACATCTCATCTGCAAGTCCACAAGTCACTAGAGGAGTATCCTGCCTCTACATTAGAGCTGCACGATAATGAATAAAACTTTTCTTTTTCTCCTGGTTTTTTTTTTTTTCTTTAAAATTTTTTGTTTTTATTAGAAATTTTTTTGTTGCAAGGACACATCAGATTTGGCGAGTTTGATCAGTTAGCGGGTTTTCTACAGCAGTGGAATTGTGCATTTAGAAAGCAATATGACTTTTGCTAAATCTTGGAAGGGTTTTAGTAGTCTACTTGGTGAGTTGGAATTATTTTTTGTGTAGTTGTAAGTAAGCAGCACACCGTCTAAAAGCTTGCTCCTGGAATATTTACTCACAGACTGATGAGGAACTTCTTCAGAACTGACAGGAGAAAGTTTTGGATAGAGTGCTGGATCCTCATGCTTTAGGTTTTCCTCCACGTGCACCTAACCTCCATGATTTGTCTTTTTTCCCTATGAAATGTGGATCCCTGTCCTTGCTTTCATCTTCATAATCATCATCAACATCAGTGGATGGCAGAGGGACTTTTTCTTTCCCCGTGTGGAATATTCTGCCTCTGCCTGAACTCGTTACCTACCTGTTATAAACCCGAACATCAGTGTCCCCACACTGAATCTTTAACCTGATCTTGATACTCTTAAGCTTCCCCTGTTAGACTGCCTCTGCTGTAATGCTTTTCTTTTTTAAACACAGCACAGTGGTGGCACTCCCTCTGCCACTTTTTGTTGTTTTTTTTTTTGTTGTTGTTTTGTTGTTGCATAGTGATCGAAGCCCATTGGTTACTGAAAGTCTGTTATATCCCCTGGCAGGAAGGCACAGTATGAAGGAAAATCATGTCTTTAAGTTTGTGCCACAGTCAGCAATAGAATAGAATAGAATCTGTCCCACTGACGCTTACAGCGAGGACAGTGTTGGCTCTGTTATATCTGGCTGACATGGTTTGGGTGCAGTTGTCTGATTAGAAGAAAAGGTCAGGGAAAACAAGTGCAAAGATGTCACCTTTATCTTGTGATGAACCATTTCTCTGATGGGAGCGTACTCTTCTGGCATGAGTGCCTCCATTGTAGAGCACTGAATTAATTTGTTATAAAAAAGATCAGAATCATATTCCGTGACCTTCACAATCACCATGCCTGAAATTTTCTGAACATGTATATAGGAGATATCACCATTTTCAAATAACCAAAGGAGCAAATACCTTGGAGAATTCTGGCCAGGTGCACTGAAGCTGTTCTAGACATATGTGATCATAAAAACAAGTTTATTATGGCTTTCTTTGTCCTTTAATTGGTCACCCTTCCCTAACTTTCAAATGCAATCAGCTGGTCTTTGTGTCATTCAATTCAGGCAGTAGCTACCACAAACCTGAACTTGTATTAAGTGATCTTTTTATATATAAACACACTACTAAGTAATTTTAGCATACATGTACCCCAGCTGCCAATTTTGATCTATGTTACCTTGCAAACCTCTACGTAGTAATGCCAGTTCCCAGGAAGGTTGATGGCACATAAAGCAGCCTTTAAATGCCAGCTTCCTAGTACAAAATCCACGTAACGTATTATTGCCCCCAGTGTAAGAACAGTGCAGGTCCTTTTTTTTTGGGTCAGTTCACCACAAGTCAGCAGGCATCATGTATTCTGCCCAGACAGCAACCTCATGTTCAATTGTGAGCTAGACTTTCATGTGGAAAACTGACTACAGATATTTATCAGTTCTGCACCATCATATAGCTTTTATGTTTGTATTTTTATGACCTTTACATAAATGATGCCTAGACCAACCACCCATTGTCACAGTGATGGGTAGCAGCAGACCATATCTGGGCTATGAGACAAATAAAAATTGGACTCTTGTTGCTCAAATTGACCAATCCAAGGAAAGGCCTTCGCTCCTTAGTATACATCTGCAAGATGAATAAACTACTGACAGAGCTAAAATCAATAGAATCTGTGCTCTGATTCATTGAGTTGATATATTTTTGCCCTCTAGCTATTAAAAAATCACTTAATGCAACATGTAGAATTACGCAGGCTTCTTCCAGATTAAAGTCGGTGTGAATCTTTGCTGGTTTTTTTTGTTTTTGTTTTTCACATCGTGGCTACATAAAGTAAACAAATCCTGTTCCGAGTCACTGACTTCCTTTTGGATCACGCCGATCACATGAACCCACAGACTGATGTACACTCAGCATGCTGCCTTACAAGATGCACATCGTCAGTTTGAAGCTTTTATTTGCTGTGCTTTTATTTTCTTTAAGATCTGTTCCAAACCAGGTTGATCCTGTGTGTCACTGGGACATTGTCAGCTAATTACAGTAGATGGTAAAGCTGTAAGTGACACCTGTGTTCGCCTGTTGATCTCTGCTTCAGCTTCTCCTTCACCTCCACACTTAAGCCCGACGCTCTTCCCCGCAGTCGGACACTCGCGAGTAGATGTATATGAGTCTCAGGAAGCGCAGTTTGCTCACTCACGTGCTGTTCAGCATCCCAGTGGAGAACCGGAGGATGCTGATGTTGCTCCGCAGCTACCCTTTGGATGCAGCGTTGTGCTTGTACAATGGGGGAAAATGAGTTGTGGACTTGCACTTTTACAAGCTGTATGAGTGATGTCTTGCAGTGTGATGGACTTTATTTAACTGACGTAGCAAAAAAGGAGGAAAAAAAAAAAGAAAAGAGGAAGAAAAAAAAGGCAGAGCTTTAGAGTATTCAAAACTCCCAGCAGAACAACTATAGATCAACCTAACTACACACAATAACTTATAAAACATGTAGAATAATTAAACAGATGAAATAGATATTTCTAAACTATTGTACTACAATGTTTTGATGTGGTTGTATTATCCATCATACCAGTGTTATTGTTGAGATTTTTACTCACTATTTTAGAGCGCATTCTGAGAACTGTCATGGCATGATGATACTAAGGTCTTGGTATATTGTGGGAAAGGTTATGTCTCTTAGTTTGTTAGTATTTGTTTCAGTGTGTCGGGAGTGTCTCCTCTTAGGTTCGCTACTCTAGCTGGGACTAGGCGTGTGAGCCTGGGGAGAGCTGCTCTGATGAACATTTGCTCCTTGTGGCAACAATGGAACACTTTAAATGTGTTAGTGTCACTTATTGATATAGTTTTTTGTTTTTTTGTTGCCATGCTCATTTGTTTTAAAATGTGTGAACTTGTTTATTACATGTCTGAATAAGAAAATTACAAAATTCAAACACACACAAAAGCTGCTTTCTTGTGTACACAGCTCTCATTTGTCACTTTGTTGCATGCAGGCACATGCATGATGAGGCTTGCCTTAGCACTCAATAACCCTACAGTTTTCATCACAATAGATGCAGGTTTATCTAGCACATTCATTTTGCATTGCAGTCCTACACTTTTAATCTGAAAATTCAAATCAAGACTTAAATATTAAACAATCAGCAGCTATGACGTTGTTATATACATCAGATAAGTGACCTTTTATGTCCCTTAATGAAAATGCAATTGAAGTTCAGGGTTGTCAGTTGCAACCACATCACTAAGGATGATTTGTCACTTAAAGCCACACTGAATCATAGACACTGAATGGGTCTTTTCAGAGGTGAGACCCGTGGAAAGTTGCTGCAGACAGAGGCTGATTGGAGGGGGGAGGGATGGGGGAGAACTCTGCTGTTAGCTCCCACCCTTCCCCCAAATGAGGGTCTCGACCTCCTGCTTCTGTTGAGCAAGCTGCAACACTAAACACACAAAACATAGATAAGATAAGGAAGTTTGTTGCTGCTGCCTTCAAAATAAAAGTGTAAAGACAGCCACGACCTGTTTCGGAGCATCAAAGCACAGAAAGTGAAACAGCATAAGAAGAAAAGTATAACTTGTAGACTTGCAAGTACATTTGTCCAGTTTTTAGTGTCGAAATCAGCTGTGATACACACTCAAAACGTAGTGTAAGTTTTCCAACTTAAATTGTTTTCCAAGAGGTCTTATTAGCCATGCTTTCAAGTTAGTTATTTAAACATGAATAAATAAAAATATTGATTGCTTATTAGTTAAGCAAGATTCTGACAATAAGCTACTGTGTCCAAGCTGAAGAATGTCCTTTTGTTGGACATAAAGAGAAACTGTGCTCTGAATTGTTCTTTGTGTCCGTCAAGATGGCTCTGAAGTTACCCATTTCCACATTTTTCTAAGTGTATTTAAAAAAAAAAATACGCAGGTTAGATCAAATAAATCCATATACATACACAGTATCCAGTAAATAAATAAAAGGACCAGAACGGCACATATATAATATACTCAGAATTTTTTATTTTAATAATAGTATTATACTGAGTCAGAATAAATAATAAAAAGTAAGACTTTTTGACTGTTCTCCACAAACCTTTAAAGGTATAAAAAACAACAACAACAACCCCCCCACCCCGCCAAAAGAAAAAACAAAAGAAAACAAAACAAACCACCGCCAGAGGGCGTAATTGGTACTGGAATAAGTTTAATTTTGTAAATCCCCGCCGGAAGTGCGTTACCGCGGCGTCTAGCTTAGCGGTCTATGATTAAATGCTAGTTTCTGTGTAATGGTTTCAGCTCCGAGTTGCGTTTTGAAACTGTATAATGCGGCGGTACATGCGTGCACTGATGCTGTGCATGGTGTTTGCCGTGTTTTCGGGCTTGTATGTTTACAGCAGGCTCTTTTACTCGGACGTGTCCGCCAGAAGAAACGGAGCAAAGAAGACTCTCATCCCACTGAGAGCGTCTGGAGCCAGGCGAGGGGTCACGGATAAAAACGCACACTCGTACAATTGGTAGGAGTGGATTTTCAATGTTTTAATAAATCGAAACAACGCTTGTAGTTGTGCTTGACGGGACAACCTGTAAAACTCAGCAAGCATGCGCCGGTACTCATGTGTAATCACTCAGGCTACAGGAATGCGACTGATTAGTCGGTCATAGGGAAGCTCAACAAGTAAATATTTAGACATGCTGCACACTACCTGCTTAGGTTTGCACTTTAACGTGCAGGTCTCATGTATAAAAGATATGTGTCGATATGTCAGTGATGTAGGATCTGTGTAAACCACACATTGTGTGTCCCACAGCCATATCTTTGGCAAATGAATTAAAAAATGTGCTGGTACAAAAATATCTGACGTAGCCTAAATGTGTGTTTTTATCACGCTGCTTTAAATCAACATGGTGTCCACACATGGCTGTGTTTGCTATGGTTCAGGTTTGGGCAGAGTAAAGGAAGAGAGAAGTGGGTACTCCATACTAAATGGATTAAAAGTCTGAATAACGTGTTGATATTTTCTGTCACAGATTTATCTGAATAATCACAATTTCTACTTGTTCCCAGAAAATAATGAGGGGAAAAGGCTCAGGATACGTTTTAGATAGCGTCTTTGCATATTTTATCCAGCAGAGGGCGCCAAATCGTGTTCTACAGCGTAGTGGTTTAGGTATCTCAGCCTGAAGCACAATTTTTGGGG